TGTTGCCATTCAGGCCCTTGATCCACTCGTCCCACAGCTCGTAGAGGTTGAAAGGCTTCTTCGAAAGCTGGCGCTGGCGACGTAGCGGGTTTGGGCCTCGTGGGCAGGAGTGGCAAAACGCCCAAGGACTCGGTGGTGGTGGGGAAGTCCTGCCGCCACGCCCTGCAGCAGCATCTACCTGCCGCCGCCAGCTCCCGCAGTAACTACCACCAACGCCAGCTCCGCAGCACAACCACCAACGCCAGCTCACCGGGCGCACAGGAAGCGGAAGCCTTGGAGCACCACCACCCCTCGCGATCAAATGGAAGTGGTTGATCCTCCCAATGTTCTTGTTCACGATGGCCCTGTTGGTCGAAACATAGCCCCTCAAGGAGCTGATGTCCTGTGCCAAGAACTGCTGGGCCTCCTCGATCGCCGCTGAGTCCTATGTTGGAAAGCAAGCAATTGGTTGAGTGTTCCATGTTGACACCACAGGAGCACCTCCAACCAAGGTCTCAGCACCAGCTTGGACCTGGGCGGTGGGAGCCACTCAGTAATGTGCAATGCATTGGCTACTTGTAGATTGTCAGAGGGATTTTGGCGACTGGGTTGTAGTCGCCCCAGGATCCTCATCCAAGTGGTCGAAGCTGGGCATCTCGTCTGGATGCGGTTGCAATGTCTGCCGGCATCATATGCTCCAAGCCAGTGACTCTCCTATTCGCAGGCCCATACAGCAAAGCTGGACCCAAGCACACATCGGTAGGTGATTGGATGGGCGTCGTCCAAAGACCAGTCCCACAAAAGGAAGGACAGACATGCTCAGCCAAATGAACCCATAGTATCAAACACCTGCTGTTCAGATCCTTGATCGAGTACTTGACGGCGGCCTCCCCACGGACAGCGAGGTCCCGCAACCAAATTGGCGTCGGTCGCAAGTGTTCCAGTCCAATGTAGGACATTGACAATATGGGCCATTCTCTCGCCCTCTCAGCGGACCAGCGAGCCTCATTCTCGGCTGGGTGATGCCACACTCGGCTGCATAGGTTTGAGGCAGCTTCCGAAGACTGTGGGTACCAAGGCTACCCTGCACTTGCTTGGACCAGCTCCACAACTCAGGGTCCTTCCAAGCACTTCTTCAAACGCCCGTTTGTACCAGGCGTTGACTCGATCAGGCCCGTCTCGATGTTGGTCTCGTCGAGCTACTTCGTCGTTGTCCAGAGCTCGGATGGCGGCAGGAACGCTTTTTCATCGTCGACACGGTAATGTGCCAACCAGAAACTTGGGATCACCGTGTCCCCTTTCAAGCGTGTCTCGATCCAAATAGCCAAGGGCAATCAAGACGAAAAGTCTGGGTCAGCGGAACCCAGCAAAATTTGGTCAGGACAATCGCGCTCCTCCTGGACGTCCTTGCTCCAGGATACCTTGGTTTGGAGAGCTATGTTTGGAAACTTGGCGTGGCTTCGGAATTCCAATGTCTCCATGTTCGTGAGATCATCAGTTCGACCAACATGTGGACTGAACCTTCATCATGGTTGGTATCTTGATCGTCGTGGTCAATTTCGCCCTCCATCGCGTTCACAGATCCGAATGGTCTTGCGGAATTCTCGAAGATTTGAGATCTCGCTTGACATTGGATTTACTTCCCTGCTTCCTGACCTCACCCTTCTTCACAGCTTTGATCACTCTCATTGACGTTCGTGTAGCGAGTTGGATTCCCAACATTACGGACAAACCGCCCATGGTTGCATGCCTGTTGGGATGGAATGTGGCTGATGGCCTTCTTGTACTTTTCAAGAGTGGAAGATCTCTTTTGGTGGACGATCATTGGGACGCAGGGTTGGTCTTCCCATAGGCAAGGAAGTTCATGAACCGGGCGACATCAGTGGGAGTAATGGCAAGGACTGTCATGAAGAACAAAAAGAAGAAGACCGATGCTGTGAGTTACCGATCAGCGAAACCAGTGACAATTCAGCGAAATGACAGTTTGGCGAAGGAGCGAAGGAGCGACGTACCTGTGTAAAGTTCCTCTTGTCTACTGTATGGTGTCTGCCGGCCATGCTTCCAAGACATAAACCTGGCAAATGCCGGCTGGTATTGTTTCTGGAGATGACTTCCGCTTCCTCGCTCATTGTCATTGGTTGGTAACAAAAGAGCGAGTAACAAAGAGGAGTAGCCAAGTAAACTAAAACAGCGATAGAGGATGCCAAGCTTTCGCTTATCCAGTGACTGATCTCCGAATTTAGAGAGGATTATCGAAGAAATGAAAAACTGGGTGGTACTCCTACTTGGATCCAACGGCAAAGTCAATCGTATCTCGTGATACGTCGTTGCGAGGAGAGGATCTTGGGTTTTCTCTCTCTCTGTACTGAGAGAGCTGTTCCGTGCACATAAGTCTTGGGTTCGCGGAACTGTGGGATGCGATTTGTGTGTGACTAGGTTGTATTTTTGCACGATTGCGAAAAGATACTTAGGCAAAAAGTTGTATTTTGGGTCCCGATGCAACTACCAATGCGATTCTGAGTAGTATCGGATACCCTCAAATGACTGGTTTTCCCCGGCAGAATACCCTCACAAATGAATGGTATCACCAGTCCCCAATATACGATTACCAATACTTAGGCCTAAGTGGGGGTGAAATATGTACTAAGACTACCAGGTAAGTCCCACCAGCGCATACAACTCCCCTAAGACTGATACCCTCTATCATGTGACTACGGTTGTATATTAGTAATACGGTACATGTATGTAAGAGCTCATGTAAAGCATGTAAGAATCGAATCGCATCAAAGCTCCGGAGCTCGAGAAACCTCTCTGTCGGAGAAGTGGTATGTAGAGTGTCGCATAGTGCCGGTGGATATATGCATACGGACATTTAGCAACTTGGCTTTGTGGTCTACCCATTAAATACGGTTTGTCTTGCATCCTACTCGAGAGTACATGGTATTTAATTATAGCTTCCGTGAAGTTGGCTGTTCCACAAGAAAAGGTGATAAAAATGAATTATGAACATTTGTCCTCCTGTAACTGAACACGTGTTCCCTTGCTTCGAAGCCCACTCCGCTCATGCCCCGCTACCGGTACGTATGCTACCGGTATACAGTATATCGATGAGCATGAGGTGCTTCCCACTTCCCATTGCCCTCGATTGCTCGATCGGAGTGATCCTCTTGGACTGTCATTTCATCACCCTACAAGTGAACGACGGCAGGCACTGTTGCACTAATACATAGTTGCCGCAGTAGAAGTACAGTAGACCAAGAATACCAAGAAGAGCCAGACGAACAAGATGGAAGGAGGAAAAAGCCGTCATTTCAGGCCTACAAGCGCTGGTACTGCTGGAAGCGATCTGGCTAGCGCTGATGGTGCCGCTGGAATGAATGCTGGGATGGATACTGGTACCAGTGAAAGCAATCAACTCGACCCAGCGGTAAGAGATGCTTTGATCAAGAGAGCAGAGGCGGAAGCCAAGCAACGCCAACACGACCAGGAAACCACCAATACAAAAACTCATGAAGAAGAAGCTGCCAAGAAACTGCCATCCAAAAAGACGGCCACTGGAAGTTCATCAGCAGCTTTTACCAAAGGTAGAAATACTAAAACTCAGTTGACAACAGCCAACCACCAGAAACAGCAGCAAGCTACAGAAGATGACAATCAAGTTGTAGTAAAAGAGGAAGAAGAAAATGTGAAGGGAGAAGATATGCGGGATCAGACTAGTTTGGTGACAGCACAGGAGGACGGAAATAAAAAGTACACGCAAGAACACAAAAACACTAGCATTGAAGCTCGGGTCGACAACACCTCACAAAGCCATCGGCTATCCTTCTTCACTGCTGTGGGTACTCCTGTCAAAGGGTTAACACAAGCGTTGAAGGAGGATAACGATGCCAAGCAAGGAGAACATAATAATATGGCAACGGAAATCAATGAAAACGCCGAAGAAGAAGAAAATAAAGGAACAGCTGTTTGCTCTTGCTACCTGCTTTTACTCACTTCAGGGAGAGAACTGGTGGCAGCCAATTCAAGACAGATGGATGGATGACACAGTCGAAGAGTGTAACTGGTTCTCCATTGAATATGGAAAATTTTCCATGTTTAGTGGGGCGTACATTCAGGGCGGTTCAGAATCTCCATGCAATGACCTTGGACAATATACCTCACTAAATCTGCAAGGACTCGAGCTCTCTGGTCTCGATGCAGTTCTTCCCCCTGAGGTAACCCTAATGACGTCCTTGTCCAAGCTTCATTTGGTTGACAGTGACATTGCTGGACCGTTGTCATCTTTTTTCCCAGCAGGCTTTTTCAGAAGGATTGCTTTGACATCTTTGAAGTTGTCAGAAAATATGCTGTCGGGCTCCGTTCCTTCTGAGTTTGGACTGCTGACCACATTGGAAGACCTTCGGCTTAATCAAAATCTGCTGACCGGCCTGCTGCCTTCTGAGCTAGGGCTCCTGACCTCAGTACGTACTCTTCGACTTGCTGATAATCAGTGGTCTGGTTGGATTCCTTCCGAGCTTGGGCTTTTGCCCTTACAGATTAAGTTGGACTTAGTTCGCACTCCGTTGACTGGTCCACTTCCTTCTGAGCTTGGGCTCCTGACCTCATTGTCATTTCTATATTTTTTTGATAATCAATTCACCGGTCCACTTCCTTCTGAGCTTGGAAAGTTGACCGCTACGCGTTGGTTACAGTTGGATCAAAATCAGCTTACAAGAATACCTTCTGAGCTTGGCCTTTCGACCTCATTGGAATGGCTTTACCTTTCTGATAACCAGCTGAGCAGTCAAGTTCCTTCTGAGCTTGGGCTCCTGACCTCGTTACATTATCTACGTCTTCAATCCAACCGGTTGACCGGTCCAATTCCTTCTGAGCTTGGGCTGCTGACCTCATTGGGAGTTTTTGACCTCTTTAACAACTGGTTGAGCGGTCCACTGCCTTCTGAGCTAGGGCTCCTGACTTCACTGGGACGGCTTTCCCTATTTGACAATCAATTATCTGGCCAGATCCCATCTGAAGTTGGTATGATGACATATTTGTCATCTCTTGATCTTTACAACAACAGCCTGACAGGAACACTTCCGAGCCAACTGAATGCTTCCATGGGGTTGAAATTGTATGGAAATCACTTCTCGGGAATTGTCCCTGATCATCTTTGTGGCTTTCTTCGGTGTGATTGTTCCCTTACTGAAACGCCTCCCGTTTCCACCTGTGCTGACCTCAAAGAAGCTCCACCGGATTGGCCTGGACGGTTTCCAACCATGCCTGGATCTGTCATGCTGAACATCCAAACTTATGATTGGCTTGAAGAAACATCATGGGTTTGGCAGAAGAAAGAAACCAATAATGCAACTACTGGTACATGGGACACATTGGAATCAGGTGGCCCACTGGAGTTTACGAATTATCTTTACTCCTCTCTCTTCTTCCCAGTGATCACTGGCACAGCCTACAGACTGATTGTAACTGCCCCGTATGGTTATGGCATGCCCTCTGGTTGGATCACTCTGACAGCCACCAACGATGAAACAGTGTTGTATTCTTTGGAAGCTCGGGAGGCATTCTTTAACATCACTATTGGTGTTTTGGTTGGAGCAGATGGATCTTTTGATATCACCAATTCTACAACTGTGTGATTCTATATTACACACATATTTCTATATATAGATTTCTCTTGGTAAACCCGTGTAGGCTCCTGTTCTCGATGCCTGCTGTTGTGTCGGTTTGATAGGTTCTGGTTGCACACACACATGTCGTACACCTCATTTGTTCACTTATTGTATTTTCAGCATTCCAAGATTTCGCTGCAATTGCAAATTTTTCCATTTCGGTGATGGCTTTGTCATCTATCTATATTGTTGCCAAGCAATGCTTTGGCAGGAGGAATAAAGCAGCAGCTGCAACATGCAGATGTATACCTTAATAAGACAGCAGCTGCTGCAACATGCAGATGTATACCTTAATAAGTTTCTGAGCATTTAGCTATCTAAATATGTAATCAGCACTCAACCCAGACCTTGCCTTTGTCGATGAGGGCCCATTGATTGGATTCGATTCGATCCAAGAAATCTACTTTTGCATCCCCAGTGTAGAATTCGCCATGTAGCTATAGTTCGGGTCTCAGGCTCATCTGTGTGCAGTGCTTGGCCATTGTATCTACCGGTATTTGTACGATACGTATACGTACGGCACCAGTGGGGTAACCAGTACGGTACGGTACACTACGCCTGAAACTGTATGTACAACGTAGCGTACCAGTAGCTCTAGCCAGCCCGTAATAGCTCTACGAGCTAGCTTGGGACGACATGCAATCTAAAACGATAGGCATCTTGCGATCTTGGTATACGGTACTTTATCCTTCTGAAAAAGTTCTGGAGATGTACCTACGATACGATGTACTAGTACTACTATAGCTAGTATGGTACGGTTATGGCGGGCTGTGATGATGGGTTGAAGTCGATTCCATCAGAATTTCGGCGCTTGTGATTGACATGACGCCGAATATTCGGTCCCATGAAATCGAGGTTGACAGGCTTGGTCGTTCGTTCCCGTCTCCAAAACCTGTTGCCATTCAAACCCCAAGAAGCAAAGCAAAGCCACATCACCCAAAGACTTAGCCTGGCTTACTCAGCCAAACGGAAGATTTTATGGACACCACTCCTCACAGTCATTGCTTGCTTGCTTTGCCACTGTGTAGTGTGTTGCTGGTCTTGTCTTGTCTTCTTCCTCTCACTTTGCCAAGATCACCGCTATAAAATCAAGAAGAAACCAAGTAGAATTGAATCCGGTTACTAGTAAGAGAGAGCTAAGAGAGAGTGAGCTAAGAGAGAGAGAGCTAAGAGAGGAGATGAGTAGTAGTACTACTTCTGCTGGAAGTAGTAATTTCAACATTACTCGCTCTTCCTCTAAAAGTACTACAAGTGCTACTAACAACAAGAACAAGATGAAGCGCAGTAGTAGTGACAACACTACTACTACTAACAACAAGAAGATGACACTGTTCCCCGCAGTGTATTACTACTCGAAAAGCAGCAGTTCCCAACATCCCGTATTAAAAACGAACGATTTACCCCATGAACCCAATCATGTGGGCATGAAGTCTCCTTACTATTTCTTGTGGGCATCTGTCTTTGCCGTGGTGCCCGTCGCCTACTGCTACATTGCCTTGATTTTGTTGCGCGAAGTGGGACTCTACTGGCATGATACGGTGGGCGCTTTACTACAAGAGTATACTCCATGGGTGTGGCAATTGCTGCAATTGTCCAAAGCATCGCGGTGGATGGAATTGTGGTGTTGTTTCGAAGCGCTCTTTTTCTTTGGACTCAAATGTCATGTGTACTATTTATCCAGTCGCGATCCTTTGGAACAGTCGCTCTCGAGTGCACCGTTTATGAAACACCACGAACGCGCACTATTGTGGCATCGCATGATGGATGCCGAATCCAATCCGGCCGAAATGATTTCTGGATGGTTCTTTGATCAGCCCATTGAAGCGCTGACGACGTATGATGTACGAGAATTTATTACCTGGAGCATGTTTGAAGGACGCAATCAGGAACACTTGACACGACAAGAATTGCAGCAGTTGCAAGAATTTGTCGAAATGCTGGAATACAAAATTAGTGAACATTGGTATGGAACCAGGCCTGAAGTTGAATCATCAATGGATGAACAAGAACAACAAGACACAATTGTGGAGGAAGAGGAATCATCAGAAGAAAATAGTCAAGAAGCAAAAGAAACAACTCCCAAAATGGTGCCAAGGAAAAGTAAGTTTATTCTACTGAACAGGAGAAAGAGTCTGATCAGAATGGATCAATGGAACTCATCCTCACCTCTCTATTTTTCTTTGATCATCATTGCACAGTGTTCCACTTTCCGGAACCCACCGAACACGAACCTCCCAATTTCTTTTCCAATCTCTACGAGTCCTATCGACGATCGTATGGGACCTACAAGAAAATGATTGTGGAAAAATCACCCATGGATATGAACAAAAATTTAATGAACTTTCATCCCGTGGAAGATTTCAAAAATTTCATGGCGTCTACGACACAACAAATATTGGAAGCAGAAGAATTCTATTCCAAAGCGGCCAGTCAAACGGCAGAATCGGCACGACAAGCTGCCACCGAAACCGCACACAACATTTCCACTCGTGTGACACAAACCACCAATCACATGTATTCTACCATTGTGCAACCGGGATCGGCCGTCGAACGACGATTGCAACAAACCCAAACCCAACTCATTCATGCGTTCTCGGTCATGAAAGAGAGCATGACGGAACGACTCGAGACGGCCAAGTTTCTCGCGGGACAACGCAAAATCATTACCCAACAATTGCGGGGTTATCGTGAAATGCTCGATCGATTGCGCTTTGCCGATAATTCCAGTGCCAGTCAAGGTGTCATTCCATCCCAACAAATGGCCGCTCTGATGCGCCGTATTACCGAATCCAATCAAGCATTAGAGCGACTGGAAGCGCATGCCAAATCGGCATTTGATCAAGCCACGGGGTTTGTGGCGCAGCACACGACACAACAACAACCGCCCCAACGGTATGCCAAATACTCGTCCGATCCACTCTTGGGAATTGCCATGTATCCACTCGGATTTCATTTGCTACTCTTGGGCGCCACCGAATTGCCGCTGCGTGTCATGATGCACCGCAAGGGATTTGAACGACGGAGTATTGGACCCGTCAATTATTACTTTCATCCTGGAACACACGTCGACGACGATGACGACAGTGATGACGAGGATGACGACAATACATCTCCCTTTCACGACGACCACAACAACAAGAATACACCCCTCGTCTTTGTTCATGGCATTGGCATTGGACTCATTACCTACCAACCACTCATTGATGCCATGTTGCAATCGGGACGACCCATTTTCTTGCCGGAATTGCCCTTTGTGTCTGGATTTCGACCCTGGCAAGGACCCAATGCCGTGTTACCACCGGCGGTTGTGTGCAGTACCATGACGGCCATGTTGGCCACACACGGATATCTCAAGGGCGCCTTTTGTGGACATTCCTACGGCACGTCTTGGTTGAGTTACATGTGCAAGTATGCACCCACGGCTGTCGCGGCATTGCTCTTTTTGGATCCCATTTGCTTTTGTTTGCATGCACCCCGATTGACCAAAAAGTTTGTCTATCATCGACCCGATCCCGGAACCATTTCGTACATTATTCGAACCGATCTCATTGTCAATTGGACCATTCAACGATCGTTTCCGTGGGCGTGGATTATTTTGTTTACCGAACAGATTCATGTCCCGTGTGCCGTCTTTTTGAGTGAACAAGATGCCCTCGTGCCGGCCCAAAAAGTGGAAGAGTATCTGCGCCACAAGGATGTGCCCGTGTCGGACTTTGTGCCGGGCATGAAGTTTGACAATGACGACATTAACGACCAAGCCGCCGTGACGGGATGCGTTTTTCGGGGACACGGACACGGCGATTGGACGGATTATCCCACCGATACCGTTCCTGTCATTGCGGATTGTCTGCAGAATCTCTGTGATCGAGCCGAGCAGGACTAAACAAACAAACAACAAGTGAGTACATACTTGCGCGCACACAAAAATCACATCACCATCATATCATCCTACAAATCACGGGAGACAATCGTTCTCTCCGCGTTGCACACACACACACACAATACATTGCTACGTCTAAAACTAAACTAAGTACCTACTAGAGTACACATGAATGAAGCTATTCAATATAGTAGTGGTGCTATGGAAGCTACCGGTACTAGACTCTTCTCCTTGGAGGCTGTTGTGTGTGTTCATGCCCTTTTCGGTGTGGAGTCGAGCATCGGTCTTGGTGCAGGGAAGCCCATGCACCCACAGAGTCGAGTCAGTCGCCCGCAAGCAGAAATTTTGAGAAACGAACCAGCCCCATAAAGCTTGCCAACATACAAATGAGTACTACCCCGCCAACCACGGCATCTTTCATGTTGACTTCCTGTTGTCCTTGTTCAGTCACATTGTTGTCATTATTGCCTGGTGGTGTTGTCCCGTCCTGTGGATGTACCGGTAGGCTCCCTACGTATTGCGAGCTGTCATAGGCCGCTTGAGCGAATCCAGTGTCACCAGGTGTGGACACTGCCATTTCAAAAGCTTGGAGTTCATCAATTGCTGTTCCTTGCTGTTGGAGTAGAAGCGTCTCTTGGATGATCACCTCAAAGAGGGTGATATTGTCATAGAGCTGTTGTGCAGATAGTGGATTCCGAGTGATGGGAGAATCCCCATGCTGCTGTATCCAATCCATAATGGCACTGCGCTCATATGTGTTGCCTTCATGATCAATGACAGGATCTCGCAAGACCTCCCCTGTGATGGAACAGAAAAAGAGAGCAAAGAGATCTTTTGTTGCCCTTGCCTTCTTGGAGGAAGCATTGGTGTTAGGAGAATCCATAGTAGCAGAAGCTTCCTGAAGCACCTGCACGGCGTGCAGGTAGTCCTTGAGTACTCTATTTGGAGGGTACAGGTTTGTGTCTTCCTCACAGTCAATGGCACTTCTTTCATAAGATACCCCATTGGCGGGATTCACCACTGGATCCTGAAGAGGCTGTTCGGTCAATGGACAGAGCAGCGGAGGTCTTGTGGTGGTGGTGGAAGTACGTGTAGAAATGCTCTGTGCATGATCCACTGCTTGATTGGATGCAGCCATAGCGGCACTTAGGTGCAGTGCCAAGCCCATTTCCATGTCGGTTGCTTCCGACTCTTGAGCTCCAGAACTGGAAGGTGATTCACCCGCACGAGCATGCTGACCACTGGATACAGTCTCTTCAAATTGGAAGAAATCACTGGGGAGTGGAACGCCCGCAGATGGATCGTTTGCATGCACGACGGTAGTCTCCACGACGAACACCAAGGTCGTCATGACTGCCTGTTTTTCTGGTCAAATGTGAAGGAGGAGAGTGCGAAAGATATGGCAGCGGAAATCTGTACTATCATCGCCTTGACTTCATGATGTCGGTTCTCAACACTTTCGGGTTGAAGAGGCGAACCCTGCGCTTTGTATATTAGTAGTATGTACCACCGGTACGCTATCAGTACCGGTACAGGGACGAGCTGCTGCTGTTTTTTGCGCGACCGATACTCTGGGTCGTTGGGTACTAGTAGCCTGTATCACGAATGCACCACCCTTCTCTGATTTTAGATTCCAAAACTCTTCTTTCTACGCATTTGTGCGTGGATCTATTCAGAAAACGTTAAAAACAGACTATATTTTCGACACACCATCAAAATAGTCTTGAGTTCATGTACCCAACGACCCCAATAACTTAAAAGGGAGCTACCATTAGTACCATGCATGGAATAAGCCTGTTTGACTGCAAGTCGTGCATTTTTCAGAGAAACAAGCGGAATTCGAGTCGCACCGCAAACGAGTGCCGAAGTAAGAACTCATGCTGAGCTACTACCAGTATCTGAATTGCTAGGCCCCACCGGTAGATAGATAGATAGCTATCAAGGTGCAACGTAGGAATCTTCTGTTGGGAATGAAGTAGTTTGCTATCTGCAGGCATTTCCCCGTGCCCGATGGCCACGCTGCCGTACCGGTACCGTAGGCAGCCGCCGCAGATCCAACCCTCTGTCGTCGCATTGCGGTAGCATCATGTTGTTAGCACTCCCGATTCCATAGCTACACGTACGACCAAACTAGCCAGCATCATTCTTGAAACAGTTGCGTGCCTGGAGTTTTTTTAAATTAGAAATGTGTTTTTGGCAGATTTCTGCTTGGGCGGGCCAATGTGACAAGACAGTCGGATGGATGAGTCGAACTACATGTAGGACTGCCATGTGCATGGGTCCCCATCCATATCTTTAGGTTCATTCCATCAGAGAACGTGCCGCGACAAAAAGATCGACCCAACCGTGCATCCCAAGCAACCCAATAAGAATGCCCCCGCAATCAACGCGTCTTTCTTGTGGTTGCTCGGCTCTTGTGCATTGTGGATATTAATATCCTGTTCGGGTGCTGCCTCTTGCAGCTGCACTTCTCCTACAGGAAGGGATCTATACCCGGCGGTAGAATAGTCAGAGGCAACCTCCTGTTCTTGTGAAACCAATTCGTTGACATTCCGTCGAGGTGTTTTCCGTCCCAATTCCTCGTCCTGTAGCTGTCTTTCATTTCTTGCTCTTCCTACTTGCTGTTGCTGGAGCAGGGGGGTTTCTTGCAGGAGGACCTCAGAGAGGGTCTTGTTGTCATAGAGCTGCTGCAGTGATAAAGGGTTCCGGGTGATGGGAGACACACCGTGCTGCTGGACCCAGTCAGTGATGGCACTGTGTTCATATGTGTTTCCTTCATGGTCAATGATGGGATCTTGAAGGAGCAAATGGGTGATGGGGCAGACAAAGAGAGTGAGAATATGCTCAGCTGTGCTGGACCTGGTGCCATCACGAGAAGAAGAAGAAGCCACGGCAGATTCCTTGACTGCTACGAGATAGTCCTTTAGCACTCTATTGGGAATGTACTTGTCCTTGTCTTTTTCACCAATAATGGCACTTCGTTCGTAGGAGAACCCATCAGTGGGATTCACTACTGGATCGAGAAGTGGCTGCATGGTCAAAGGGCAGAGCAGTGGAGGTCTTGTAGTGGTGACGCCATTGGCATGGTCAGAGGGACACTCGGATGTTTGGCAAGAAGGAGAGCTCTTGGTGTTGCCGTTGCAGGGAGACTGGTGGTGCGTCAAGCCCATTTCCATGGCAATCTCATCACAGTCAACAGAAATCGCATCGCAGTCGACAGAACCATCCTCGACATCGAACGTGACGGTGGACATGCCTTGCTCTCTCGTTTGTCACGGGAATTTCAGTATGGCAGCAGCAATTTCTACACCATGACCACGCACGTTGTAGCTAGCTAGTGGAGTATGCTGTTGACGCGTGCACTTGTTGCTGAAAATTCCTTACTCGATGAGAAACCCCTTTGATGCTGGTAACCGTGAACGGTACCGAGGGAAGCATGTTGGTTCAAGCCTGGCCCTCCATGGCTCCGTGGTAATTCACCGCCTCTAACGACCGTTGTTCGTTCAAGGTCACGCGCATCGAGGACAATAAGGTGGCATGTCTGGTAGTCGTGGTGGGGAGTTGCAGTCGGGAAACTCCAAGGTCTTTCTCCAATATCCAAGCCATTTAGCTGCTTTATAGCTTCAGTTGAAGCCAAGGACGACGCAATGGATGCGATGACGCTCAAAGCTCGAAGTGCATGGCAAAATCAATTGACAGCAGCCACATAATAGAGGACCAGAGCGGCCACTCACCTGTAGACAGCTATAGCTAGCAAATACATCAACATGAAAGAAGAGGTTGTTAATAGCAGCAGTGCAAAGGAGAAGGAGAAGGAGGAGGAATCTCCTGGCAGTGGTGATGGGATATAGGTGGCCAACCAGAAGACGCACTCGATCCAGCTGTAAGGGATAGTCTCCTTAAAAGAGAGCCGAGGCCGAAGCTGCACAATTCCAAGCTGAGGAATTCTGTGCTAATGCCAGGCCAGGCCACCAAGAGCACGAAGAAGCTTCAAACTTGAAGACGGATGAATCAGGATCTGTCCGTAGCACAGAATCTGATTACCCTCCTGGAACAGAAGAAGAAATGGACACTGTTGTTTTGGATATTCTTACCAAGAGGCCCACTTTAGAAGCCGCACAGATTGAAAAGGATGAAGCACAATTTGTGGCTGGTCAGACCAGTTTGGTTGCTGTGGAACATCCCAATGCCGAAGAAGACCTTCAAAATCAAGAAACAAGCACAAGTGAGTCCAGAGAAGAGGAAATCATGAAAATTGTGGCAAATCGGGCAAATGCACAGAGAGCTGCTCTTGTGAGGGAACAGCAACAAGCTGGTGGTGTACCGGGAAACATGGTCAGTAGAGTCTTCCACAGAAGGAGACACTCTCCCACAACCAGCCTTGCACCGAACAACCCAGATGCGACCACAATCTCAGCCAGGTGCGTTCCTGGATGCACCAGGAGGACAGATGCAACGAAACCCCAACTTGAACTATAGCCTGCTTGGGGCTAATTCTGGAACTGGTAGCGGCTCAGAAGCCTCACATGTTGGCACTGCAGCACGGATGATATCAACAAATGCAGGGTTGGTACAGGCCAATGCCATAGAGGATGATACAGCCGATTTGATGCATGCCAATCCGGTTGATCTGGAAACCGATCAGCAACGTGTGCTCTGAAGGAAGCAGCAACAGACAGCTTTCTTTGCAGCAGCAATTTGGTTGTTGCTGGTTGCTGCCATCATTGTGGGATTCGTTGTGGGAACCCAAAAGAACAAGAAGCCTGAGGTGGTTGTACTTGAGTCCACTGAGGCTCCAACAGTTTATGGATCCATGGAACCATCAGAAGTTCCATCATCTGCCCCGACTGGAGCTCTAGACTTGCTATTGGAAACCCTGCCAGTCTACACTTTGGCCAGCATCAACAATGGTAGTGAGACCCCGCAGTGGAGAGCATGGCTCGCGAGCTGGCTAGCCAATACCAATATATCACATTTGTTCCAGAATGGAGAAAGACACAGCTGTTTGCTCTTGCTACATTCTTCTATGCCATTGGTGGAGATAATTGGAATCCCCTCATAAAAGATCGATGGATGGATGATACCAAGGATGAGTGTGACTGGTTCTCCACTGGATTTGGAATGTTTGTTGACTCGGGTGAAACATACGTTGAATTTCAAGACTGGGGTATCTCATTTACACCACCCTGCAACATCCAAGGACGATTCACATCTCTGAATCTGCAAGACCTGGAACTGCCTGGTCCCCCCACATCGTTGCCACCTGAGATTGTGCTCTTGACTTCCTTGACTTTTGCACAGTTGGGAAACAGTGGCATTTCTGGACCAATTTCATCTCTGCTTCCAACAGAAGTTTACGAGATGACTGGATTGACAACTTTGAGATTGGAGTTTAACTTTCTCACTGGCAAGATTCCATCCGAGATTGCACTATTGACTTCCTTGTCCCAGCTTGAATTGGATCGGAATGAATTGACTGGGGAAATCTCTTCCGAAATTGGTCTGCTGACCTTATTGGATATTCTTTGGCTTGAAGGAAATCAACTGTCCAGTCGACTGCCTTCTGAGCTTGGGCTGCTGATCCAATTGCGAGTTCTTTTGCTTGGTGACAATCAATTGACCGGCTTGATTTCTTCAGAGCTTGGGCTCCTGGCCTCGTTGCTGTGGCTTTCCCTATCTTTGAATCACTTGACTGGTTTGATTCCTTCCGAAGTAGGGCTCCTGACCCTGTTGGATACTCTGTGGCTTGAAGGGAATCAATTGACTCGTCCACTGCCTTCAGAGTTTGGGCTCCTGACATCATTGATTCGGCTTCGACTAGACGAAAATCAGTTTGCAGGTCCACTGCCATCTGAGTTTCAGGCATTTACTGCTTTGGCTAGACTATGGTTGAATGGCAACCAATTCACTGGCCCAGTTCCCATGGAGCTTTGGCTCCTAACATCTTTGCTGGAGCTTCACCTTCATGACAATCAGCTCACTGGCATAATCCCGACTGAAGTTGGCATCATGGCATCACTGACATCCATGGGTGTTCAGAACAATATCCTGACAGGAACACTGCCTAACCAACTGAATGCATCTAAGGGATTGAGACTATATGGGAATCAGTTCTCAGGAACTGTGCCAGAGCATCTATGTTCTTTTCTGTGGTGTGATTGTTCCCAAAATGAAGCCTCCCCTGTTTCCACATATGCTGACCTGAAAGAATCTCGACCAGACTGGCCTGGACGGTTTCCAACCACAGTTGCTGGTGTCCTGCTCAATATCCATACTGATGATTATCCAGAAGAAAACATCTTCACTCCTCTCTCTTCCCAGTGGACGCTGACACAGCCTACAGATTGATTGTTTCTGACCTTTGGGGTGATGGTGTCAACACCTACGAACCTGGATGGATAACTCTGACAGGCACCAACCAAACAGTGTTGTATTCAGTGGTAGCTGGGGAGGCTTTTTCTGAAATCACTGTTGACGTTTTGATTGGAGCAGATGGGTCTTTGGAAATCACAAATTCTACAACGATTTGAGTTGTCTGTGACCATCGTTCGTGCAATGACTGTATATGAAGCCACCCAAATCGTGAACCGTGTGTTATTTATATCTGGAATAAAACCCGGGCTACTGCACGTCGACAGGCGTCCTAATGAGCTCACATTTGTCTGGTTGCGGGAAAAACCCAGACCTAGGACCGAACTCAAGGAGAGTATCAAATTTTGAATGGGTACAAATTTGCTGGCTCCACCAGCATCAATGGCCGACGAACACTTGGGTGTTGATGCTTCAAGGTGTGAATTAGCGGGAGGAGGGCAAGGCCATAGAGGATCATGGAGAGAGGATCTGCTTGGACCACTCCAACACAGCTGCAAAGTGCGAAGGAGTGGCCATTATTGGCTCGGACAATGAGTAGCGAGTAGCATTGGTAGCAGTTGAAGGTTAGTGGAGCACCGGCTGGCCACTCATGACCTACAGTCCAGGGCATCAGGGTGCGATCAAGTTCATTGAAGGCATTCGGAATTGAAATCAATGAAGCTTAAAGCTTGGTCGGAGGTATACGAACGTAAACACAAACGCAAGTCCATGCAGACGACGCGAAAAGGATATTCCTGCATATATCTGGAAGTCGTGACACCCAGGAACAGTTATGACCCACCAACATACCGGTAGAATCCCCACAGCGGTTTTGTGCTCTCCAAGGTTTAGGGAGTGCAGATATAGGGCTCGGCGTTGTTTGGATGGTACCTTTCTTTCTGAACGAGCCAGCAAAACCACGACGTACTCCACTCGTTACTTAGCTGGAGCTACTAAACCGGGAACGGTACGGCTATAGCGCTACTGAAGCACGTGCTCCAAGTTCATGGCGACGTGGAAGATTGCAGCTACTGCAGTTTGGCTGGCAGGAGCAACGACCACGCAAGTTCAGTGCCGTACATGTATTCCCTCCAAAATCTTGTCGGTTCAATGGGGGCTGGCGGCCTCGTTACTTAGCCAGAGCTATGATTGCCCGGAACGGTACTAGTACCGCAGAAGCACGGGCCACATTTTAACGCACTCGACGAGGCTCTCGTTGGTCATCCGGGCCTACGATTTGGCAGGAACGGTGCTGCAAAAGCGCAGGCTTCAATTTCTCAGTCGTGAAACGCAGGAACTACACGTATCCGCCGTTGTCTGCGAACCTCATAATTTGGATGCTCACCTTTCGCCATAGCCAGCTAGCGAATCCACCATGAAGTTCATTAAAATTTCTCCCTTTGCCATTACCTCCAGTGCTATTGCATTGTTGATGGCCACATCCTGCAGCGCTGAAGTATGCGAGACCATCAGTCCTACGGATAACTCCGGAGGCAGTAATGGTGTTAACGTAGTTACACCCCCAGCTGGAACCACAGAAGTTGAATGTGAAGTTACATGTGACTCTGTAACCAGCCTCAGAGTTGTTATGCAGCAAAATGGACTTGTTTTGGATCAAACAACCACTTGTGGAACCACCATTTCCCACACAACATCTGAGAGTGTAGACATAGGAATAGAGCATGAAGACAACATTAACCTGGTCATCACCTGTAGATGCAATGATCTCAGCACCCCTGCTCCTTATGCTTATTATCCCTATCCCACTCCCCCTCCTCCTCCCTTTTGCTTTTCTGAGGAAGCCACTGTGGAACAACCGGGCCAAGCACCCACCAAGATGACGGAACTCAACATCGGAGACAAGATCTTGACTGCCAACAACAAATACCAACCAATCTACGCCTTTGCCCACAATGATGCCACCACTTACACGGAATTCCTCCAAATCCACACGACAAGTGGCATCAACCCATTGGAAATCACTGGTCAACATTTGGTCTATGTGCAGGGAAAGGATGCCCCGGTCACGGCCAAATCCATCAAGGTTGGTGATACTCTTACTGAAGCTGGACAAGGAGGAGCTGCTGTTGTTACCAAGATTGATACTGTCCAGCGCCATGGAATCTATGCTCCCTTGACTCCGGATGGCACACTTGTGGTGGATGGCATTGTATCCTCTTGCTACGTTTCCCTCCAACCCAATGGTGATCCCCAAACCATGGAACTAAAAGGCTGCTCTGCATTGTCCGTTTTCTCTCACCACCGAGTTGCCCACATGCTCTTGACTGTGCCTCGTTTGGTATGTATGGGTGGTATCAGCCCAAAATGGTGCCAGACGTACAATGAAGATGGTGTGGCTCTTTTTGTGCAGACGGCATTTGATTTGTCCGACTGGTTCCATGCCCAGCATTGGATGGTCCAGTATTTCCTTTTGGCTGTCTACTTGGTTGTCTTGTGTCCCCTCTATGCATTGGAGCTCCTGCTCGGTGCCAAGCTGGCTGCTGCCATGATTCTTGGTGGATTGGTCTTTGTGGGTTTTGTCCGCGGAAATAATGTTCCTGCTGTGGAACCAATCGATGTCAACAAAGAAGCTTGAGTCACAACCTGTCACATCTCGGCCATGTAGTATGAATCATTTGAGAAAAAATCTGTGCAACCTAATTCATTACAATGACAAAATGAAAACTAAACAGAGAAAGTAAACAAGTAATATCTCACAAACTACAAACTTGTTCATCCATCGGCAAGTACTGTACTAGGCATGAAGACAGTGTATTCAGAGTATTACTGACTCAATGGGTTGGGGGTGCTGTGAGGACTTCGACTCTTTGCTTATGCCATGGCTGCATGGAGCTACGATTGCCCGTAACTGTAAAGGTGGTTCTGGTGGTGCATAGAAAATCACGGGCATCACGCCGAAGGCATAAGCCAGCATATCTGCAAGTCGTGAAATGCAGAAACGCTGACCCAAGCCGACGAACGAGGTCGAGACTACGGGGAGACGAGACAGAGACTCCGCTCGTCACAAGGGTTGCCGCTCTCCGACTTTAGGGAGCGAAGATTGGCTCGACCAGGTTTTTTTTGGAGATGGAACCTTCCATATTATGTTGAACAAGCCATGCAGCAAAACCATCTTAAAAAGAGCATCCAGGTTACTAAGCAACAACAATTTGAAAAGCAATAAGCAAGGTTGATTCTTTTTTTGTTTTGAAAAGGCATGAATTCGGTTGCCCGGAAAACAAGCAGGCTGCAGGGACTGGCTCGTCATCAAGGGCCGCGTCGTCGACCTGGTGAGGCTACCAAAGAAGCCCCGCTTGACTCCACTCAGCCACTGCGAAGAGCCACCTATACAAGATGATGAGTGTCCACGAATGTTGTTTTAGTTTACATGTATGTTGTTTAGTTTCGTTTAGCACAGGAAACAATGATTCATTCACTCTCTGTGTGGTCGTAACCCGAGACAGCTGTGGCCTCCTCGGTGAGGGTACATGCAGACAAAGGCCACCACCACTTTTTTTCAGTCCTCGAGTTTGGAAAGCCGCATGAAATGCATCAGTAGAATAAACCCAACAAAAAGCACCGAAAGACAAGACAGCTTCATCAGACACGGCAAGGCATATCTGACGGTGCTCTCGTTTGGCTGTAGAGCAATAACTGTCGGTTCTCCTCCTGGATCCAAGACACCATTTTCGTTCCTCTTTGCTTGGATCCGCGAGCGGTGATAAGCGGCAAGAACTGCAGCACCGTCCCCGTCATAAAGCACAGTCTCTTTTATAATCACCTCTGTGAGTGTGTTGTTGTCATAGAGCTGTTGTGCAGATAGTGGATTCCGAGTGATGGGAGAATCCCCATGCTGCTGTATCCAATCCACAATGGCAGTTCGTTCATATGTGTTTCCTTCATGGTCAATGACTGGATCTTCTAGGAGTTCCTGGGTGATGGGACAAACCAAGAGATCGAGAAGATCTTTCGATGATGATGTCATGCTTCTACCAGAATGATCCATAGTAGCAGAATCCTCCTCCTGTAGCCCCTGTACAGCCTGCAGGTAGTCCTTTAGCACTCTATTGGGAATATACTGGTCTCTGTCTTCATCCTCACAGTCAATGGCACTTCTTTCATAGGAGAACCCATTGGTGGGATTCACTACTGGATCCTGAAGAGGCTGTTTGGTCAATGGACAGAGCAGTGGTGGCCTTTCGTTGGATGTACCTGTTATGGAAAGAGAAGAGCTCATATTGCTGGTGATACTATTGATACTGCGTGTGCTGGCATCCTGATGGGGAGACGCCAGGCCCATTTCCGCATCAATCTCATCACAGTCCGCAACGTCCCCGTGTATCTGATGCTCAACGACTGCTGTCCATCCATGGTGACCATGGGAACTCCCAGCTTCTTCCTTATTATTGTCCTCCGTTGACATGTCTGCTGGTCTCTGCTGAATATAGGATAGTGTTGATTGCAGTGGCGTCCTTTATCGTCCTCGATTGCGTGCCATGGTGCTTTCGCGTCGTTTGTCATCAATCAGCGATCTTTGACAATTGAGGAGGATCACGACTGGACTTTGGCGGGTTCTCCTAAATGTACCGTACCGGTGTACCGGTGTTGGTATCCGGGTACGGTCTCTTGCGGTTCCGTGCTGGTACCGTATTTTGGCATTTGAAGCTGGCTTATCTGGATGTGTGGGTGAGCACGGGTAAGCTGGAGTGGTAGGGAATGGCGAAACTGCAGATACCAGTATACCGGTAGCTTGTTTTAAAACTATGCTGCCATGGCCTCAAGCTAGCAATTTTGCAGTCAAAGAATAGGGAGAGTTTTGGATTATCCACTATGCTGGCTAGTACCAATATGCAAGCCCGCAGAGGGCCCCGAGGGCCACGCTTAGAGAAGACAAGGCGATCTCTTGGAGCAGGTTCGGAAATCTTGAGGCTGGGGACAGTTTCATAAATTTATGCCCGAAGGACAGCTAGCTTCTCACAAGATTGTTCAATCAAATCAGAGTTTGAAGCCAAAATGCAAAAAAAGCAAATCCCCACCAACCAAGACAACAGAGAGATACCCATGGACTGCAGGCAGGTTCAATCGCACCATTGTTGGGTGGTGTTCTTGTCGTTTCCAATTCCTGTGGTTGCTGCCTATTTGCCTGTACTGGTAGGTCCTCCAAACATTGAGAGCTATAGTAGGCGGCAGCAGCGAATCCGGTGTCACCAGGTGTGTACATGGACACTGCCATTTTGAAATCTTGGAGTTCATCATTTCCGATTCCTTGCTGTTGGAGTAGTAGAGTTTCTTGAATGATTACCTCAAAGAGGCTGGTGTTGTCACAGAGCTGCTCAATGCATAATGGATTCCGGGTGATGGGAGAATCCCCGTGCTGCTGTATCCAATCCATAATGGCGCCACGCTCATATGTGTTGCCTTCATGGTCAATGACAGGATCCTGCAGGAGCACATGGGTGATGGGGCAGATAAAGTGAGCAAAAAGATCTTTGGTTGTCCGCACCTTCTTGGAAGCATTTGTGCTCGGAGAATCCATAGCCTGTAGCCCCTGTATTGCCTGTAAGTAGTCCTTGAGTGCTCGATTGCGAGGGTAGAGGCCAGTGTGTTCAACACAGATAATGGCACTTCTTTCGTACGATACCCCATTGGCGGGATTCACCACTGGATCCTGAAGAGGCTGTTTGGTCAATGGGCAGAGCAGCTGAGGTCTTTTGGTGGAGGTTCTTGTGAAAGTGCCATGTACAAGATCAACTTGATTGGATGAAGCCGAAGCGTCGAGTGAAGAGCTCATGTTGTTGGTGTTACTACTGCATGTGCTGGCGTCCTGGTGAGGAGGTTCCAAGCCCATTTCCATGGCAATCTCATCACAGTCCACAACTGCACCCTGTGTCTGATGCTTAACGGTTGCTGTCCCTGCCTCTTGGCCTTTCGTATCCTCGAGCTCCAAGGACATCGTTTTGTTGCTTTGGGAATGTGGGTTCCTTTGTGGTGTGGTGGACTCGCGGGTCTGACGGCTGGCCTTTAGATTTTTGAAGGCTTTTTGTTTTGTTGTAGACGGTCACTCAGGTACTGTACTAGTAGCTAGCTATGGTAGGTCCCCAGTACCGTTCCGGGCTATTCAATAGCTAGCTGCGGTGAAGTGATTCAAAGATCTTGATCACGACTGGACTTTGCTCTAGAATAATAATGTTTAACACTGTAGAACTGCCGACGACTGCTGATGCCGTATTTTGGCAGCTAAAGCTGGCTTTTCGATGAGGTCTGCAAACGGCGCTATCCGAGTCGACGAGCCGAGTCGAGTCGAGTACCGGTATATCGGGAGCAGGCGGGTTATATAAAGCCAAAAAGTCTTAGTGTCATATGGTAGCAGGAGCTACCGGTACTATACCGGTAGGTTGCTAAAAGCCAGCTACTATCAATAGCTAGCTAGCTGCCATAGCTACGAGCTACCTAGAATTTTGGCTATTTAATCCTTTGTAGTTAGACCAGACTTTGACAAGACTTTCCCATCTTCTGGCGGGAAAATCAAACATGTACGACGATAATCGGGCTCGAGCCAGCTACATGTATCTAGCTGTGCAGCCTTTTCTGAGGCGACCAGTGACTGGACCAGTCCCCCAGGAGCCTCACGCCCTTTCCCTCCAGTCGAGGTCAAAAGTCGCGTAAAAGTAACTTTGCAACAAGATACAACCCCAACCAGGCTCCAGTAAAGAAAGCAAGGACATAGACCCATGTACTGCAGCAAGGTTGAACCAAACGTGCATGGTTGTTGGCATTATTGGGTGGCGTTCTTGTCCTTTCCAATTCCTGTGGTTGCTGCCTATTTGGATGTACTGGTAGGTCCTCCAAAACTTGAGAGGTGTAGTAGGGCGCAGCAGTGAATCCAGTGTCACCAGGTGTGTACATGGACACTGCCATTTTGAAATCTTGGAGTTCATCATTTCCGATTCCTTGCTGTTGGAGTAGTAGAGTTTCTTGAATGATTACCTCAAAGAGGCTGGTGTTGTCACAGAGCTGCTCAATGCATAATGGATTCCGGGTGATGGGAGAATCCCCGTGCTGCTGTATCCAATCCATAATGGCGCCACGCTCATATGTGTTGCCTTCATGATCAATGACAGGATCCTGCAGGAGCACATGGGTGATGGGGCAGATAAAGTGAGCAAAAAGATCTTTGGTTGTCCGCGCCTTCTTGGAAGCATTTGTGCTCGGAGAATCCATAGCCTGTAGCCCCTGTATTGCCTGTAAGTAGTCCTTGAGTGCTCGATTGCGAGGGTAGAGGCCAGTGTGTTCAACACAGATAATGGCACTTCTTTCGTACGATACCCCATTGGCGGGATTCACCACTGGATCCTGAAGAGGCTGTTTGGTCAATGGGCAGAGCAGCTGATGTCTTTTGGTGGTGGTCCTTGTGAAAATGCTCTGTACAAGATCATCTTGATTGGATGCAGCCGAAGCATCAGGTGAAGAGATCATGATGCTTGCGCTACTGCTGGCATCCTGATAAGGAGATGCCAGGCCCATTTCCAAAATAACATCGTCACAGTCCACAGCATCACTGTGCGTCAGATGCTCAACGGTTGCTGTCCCCGCCTCTTGGCCTTTGGTATCCCTGTGCTCCATGGACATCCTTTTTTGTTGCTTTACGAATGTGGGTTCCTTGTGCATGGTTAGGCTGGGCTTTAAAAGGGTAGGACTCCAGAGTCCGAGTGTCAGGACTGGACTTTGTAAGGCCTGGGTGAGGGAGATCCAGACGGCTGGGTACCTGTAGCCCTGGTACCGTTCGGGGCTAGTGATTGCGGTGCCGTAGCTGCTGCCGTGGAAGCTGGCTTATTGGGTCTCGCCGGAGGCCAGCCCAAAGACAGGCCTTCGTCGTGAAGCCAACAAGCCCTCTACTAGCTAGCACTGCACTAGTGGCTAGCTTTCCGAGCCAGCAACTATATCATTGTAGTTAGATTATAACTGTGTGCGAACTTAATACATATGGGGGTCTAGCTAGCTAGTTTATCTTACTGTATCTAGCTAGATTAGGTACTAGTAGAGGTTTGAATTATCCTCTTGCTACAGTTTATTTTAGACCAAGCCTGCCATGATTTACATTTCCCAGCCACAAAGCAGCGTGTTCTTCAGAGGCATCCCAACATTTTGAGGTAGGAGCCCTCGAACTCACCAAACACATGTAGCTACTGACATCAAGAACGTCATGCAAATGGCCCCAGAACCAACAATAGAACATAAAGATTGAGATTTCCACAACGGTCCTGGCAAACCATTACCGTTATCGGGCCCAAGAACCAAAATCGCGAAAGACCCACTGACTACAGTGTACACGGAGGGTCGGTGGAACTGAAGACGACAGAATCAATCATATCGCAGCATACCGCTGGATAGAGGAGACAAAGTTACACCATTTACATGTAGGAAGCATCCTCATACAAGAGGAATTGAAGGAGTTATCCTCAATATATGGTAAATCAGGAACCCAGCGATCGTGCGACCATGCACCCATCGACGCGACGCGACTCAACATAAACTATATATCAATCAACCAGCCACTTCGAGGCAAGAGTGCCGCGACAAAGCAGAACGTGAATCCAGTCAGATAGATGCAACTGGTGCTTAGCGGCAGCCTCTTGTTCTAGAGGATATTCATCCAGATACGGCTTTCGTGCTTTCTGGGCCATATCCCACAAAGAGCTGAATCGACGAATCGCGTTCGTATTCAAGCTCATGAAACTCTAGCGGTAGGACACATCTATTGATCACTACTATACATATATCGGCTACAAGGAAACGTCACCCTGAAGTCTACAAGAGGAGTGGCTCAGTACCCACAAGTCAAAACGGTGATTTTCCTTCGCAAGACAGGGTGACACGAAGCGACGCGACAACGCGATAAAAAAAACTCAAGCTCCACAGCAACAACATACGGTAGTTGCAACAAGTCCGTGTACACCAAGTCAAAGTCACACGAAGAAACGAAGCCACACGCAAACGTCATGGAGAATCCTAGGAAGAGGAGGCCCTGGGGGCGGACACGGACGACGAGGAGCAAGAGTCCAAAGTAGGAGCAACAGCATGCCATTCATCAAGAAAGAGACAGAAATTCATGGCTAATCCGGTCAAGCAGACTGAGTCACTCCAGATACTGTCCTTTACCCTACCGGTACAGATATGAATCGAGTCCATCGTGGGTGCAGCTCCTCGTTCCTGTAAGCTTGGAGATGAGCCGCAATCGAGCCATGACACCCTTGGCCCTCAGAGATCGTTCCTATTTGAAAAGTTCGAAATTTCCCCCTTTTAAAAGCCTGGCCGCAGTGGCCTTCGGTGGGTAACTTCCCTGCTCTTTAAAAATCCCTTTACGTACTTTCATACCGGTAGGAACATGTCAATCGTCGGCAGGAACACCATTTGATATCAGCTCTGAAAACCATGCATGTCACGCAGTCGATCTGCTCGGTTGGTACAATGTTCAATAGCTTGGGCTGGCCTATCGTGCCGTTGTAAATTATTAATGCTATTTTGCAGAGTGTACGTCAGAACCCAAAACGTACTCGGGCCCAATTGCCGTGCATCAACCTGTTTCGTCGATCGTAAGTGATGCATTTGCAGCAGATGTCAACACAAACATCATGGTCTGGCTCACAATACGCTATTTGCCGTTTTAGAAGGACTCAACTTGACTCCACTATATAGTATCGTTCTTTGATGAAAGAGGGAAAGAGCACTGGTGGTAGTACTACCACTGATGAGGACGACTGTCTCTCACATGGTGGGAATGTTGCGCCAGCAGAAGGACTGTCGCTCGACCCTGTTGTTGTCAGAGATGCCGAGGTGGCAGCAGAAGAGGACACTGTTGTTTTGGATATTCTTACCAAGCGGCCTGCTTTGGAAGTCGCACAGTTTGAACAGGACGAAAAGACTGCCACGACCCGAGATTGGAAAGAACAACATGCCACCCAAAAAACAAATCCAGAAGAGAACGACGAAGAACTTGCGAATGCCAGAGAAGATCTCAGTCAAGAAACAAGTGAGTCCGGTGACGAAGACATCATGGAAATTGTGGCAGATCGGACCAGTTTGGCAGTCGCCGAACGTATGAGTGCAAAAGAAGATCTCCATAGAGAAAAACCAAGTACTACTGACAGCGAGAACCTCCTGCAGTTGGCAGTGGAAATCAATGAAGCCGCCAAACTGGAAAAGTTTGCCAATGGAGCTAACAACGCCAACACAAATGATGATGATGTTCCATCCAACGCACAAAGAGCTGCTATTGTGAGGGAACAACAACAAGATGGTAGTGTACTAGGAAATCCGGTAGATGCCACCACAGCAGTAGATGCCCCCACAGCAGTAGATGCTCTCCCACCACCTGCATTGCAACGAACAACCCAGAGGCGTCCACAATCCCAGCCAGGTGCGTTCCTAGATGCACCAGGAGGCCAGATGCAAAGAAACCCCAATTTAAACTACGGCCTTCTCGGTGCTAATACGGGCAATGGTAGTGGCCCAGGAGATCCCCGTGTTGGTACTGGTACTGCTGCACGGATGACATCGACAAATGAAGGGTTGGTACAAGCTAATGCCGTCGAGGATGATACAGCCGAATTGATGCATGCCAATCCGGTTGATCTGGAAACCGATCAGCAGCGCGCACTCGAAATGAAGCAGCAACAGACAACTTTCTTTGCAGCAGTTCTTTGGTTGCTGCTGGTTGCTGCAATCATCGTGGGATTCGTGGTGGGAACACAAAAGAACAGGGAGCCAAAAGTGGTTGTCCTCGAGTCAACGGTGGCTCCAACAGCTTATGGCTCAATGGAACCCTCTGAAGTACCATCATCTGCCCCCACTAGAGCTCTGGACTTGCTACTGGATACTCTCCCTTACTACACTTTGGCCAGCATCAAAAATGGCAGTGAGACTCCGCAGTGGAAAGCATGGTGGTGGCTCACCAATCACCAAAATATCACCTTTCTTCCAGAATGGAGAAAGGAACAGCTGTTTGCTCTTGCTACCTTCTTCTACGCCTTTGAGGGAGAAAATTGGAATCCACTCATAAAAGAGCGCTGGATGGATGACACATTGGATGAGTGTTTGTGGTACTCTGGTGGCTTTGGATATTTTGTCCTCACTAGTTATTTTGAATATGAAAGTGGGGTTAGAGGGTTTCCCTGCAACAGCCAGGGACAATTCACATATCTGCATCTGGCAGACCTGAAACTCTCTGGTTATTCCCCGTCATTGCCACCTGAGATTGTGCTGTTGACATCCCTGTCTCATGTAGAATTGTCATTCAGTGACATTTCTGGGTCGATTTCACCTCTGCTACCGACAGAAATTTATGAGATGACTGGATTGACAACTTTCATTTTGTTTGCTAATCGATTCGCTGGCAATATTCCCTCTGAGATTCTCCTATGCACTTCATTGGCCACCTTTGTCTTGGGAGCGAATGAATTGACGGGCCAAATTCCATCCGAGATTTCGCTATTGACTTCGTTGTCCTCTCTTGAATTGCTTTGGAACGAATTGACCGGTCATTTGCCCTCTGAGCTTGGGCTCCTGACATCATTGGAGCGATTGTTCCTTGATCAGAATCAGTTGACCGGTCCAGTTCCTTCTGAGTTTGGGCTCCTGACCTCATTTCAATATCTTTTGCTTGAGACTAATCGGTTTACCGGTACAGTTCCTTCGGAGTTTGCGCTCCTGTCCTCATTGAAAGAGCTTTACCTTTATGATAATCTGTTGTCCGGTCAAATTCCTTCCGAACTTTGGCTCCTGACCTCATTGGATGGTCTTTGGCTTGATCGGAATCAGTTGTCCAGTCCGATTTCTTCAGAGCTTGGGCTCATGACATCATTGAGATTTCTTGACCTTTTTGAAAACTGGTTGAGTGGTCCACTGCCCTCTGAGCTAGGGCTCCTGACCATATTGGAAGAGCTTGAACTGTCTGCCAATCAGCTATCTGGCACAATCCCCACTGAAGTTGGCATGATGACATCATTGACACGGCTGTTGCTTGATAACAATAATCTGACAGGAACACTGCCCAGCCAACTGAACACATCTATGGGATTGAGGCTTTATGGGAATCAGTTCTCAGGAACTGTGCCAGAGCATCTTTGTTCTTTTCTATGGTGTGATTGTTCCCTAAATGAAACTCCTCCTGTTTCCACCTGTGTTAACCTCAAAGAAGCTCTGCCGCATTTGCCTGGGCGGTTTCCAACCACAGGTGCTGATGTCCTGCTCAATATCCATACTGATGATTATCCAGAAGAAATATCATGGGTTTGGCAGAAGGAAACCAATGTGACTGGTATTTGGGACACATTGGAATCAGGTGGTCCAATGGAGTATATATATTATCTTCACTCCTTTCTCTTCCCCGTGAACACTGATGCAGTGTACAGATTGATTGTATCTGACAGTTATGGTGATGGTGTCTGGCAACCAGGTTGGATAACTCTGACAGCCGCCAACCAAACAGTGTTGTATTCTTTGGTAGCTGGGGGGGCCTTCTCTGAAATCACCATTGCCGTTTTGGTTGGATCAGATGGATCTTTTGATGTAACCAATTCTACGGCATGATGGTTCTACATCTATACTTGTGAGTTATATACATATATATATATATTCATGTTGCATTTTTCTATAGGTAAAAGAACTATAACTATGCACTGATTTAGTGTTCTGTGGTCATCTTTAGCTATATCTAGACAAAGCATCAACACCTATAGTATGTGGAGTGGTTCAAAGAGAAAAACTCTCGAAGTACGGCTATTTTTTAAAAGGCAGTCAGACAAAAAGTGCTTGAGGACGACTCATTATAGGCGAGGCCCATGAGTTTGCCACATTAACGGCAGTGATGAGCAGTGATATGGTAGGCGAGATCACGATGGAGTGATCGAGGAGCATGCATGCAGCAGAGATGCTGTTTCCGATCGACGCATTCGAGTCACCGTTGGTCACCATCTTATGGTAAACCAAGAAGGGATACCGGTACGTATGCACGCTGAAGATGAGCTGTCGAACGACAAGAAATCGATCCACGTTGAAGAACGACAGCTTGGACGACGGCAAGAACACCACGTTCAATACTATAGCAACAATCTTGGCCTCGTTTGCATGCGCTATCTGTATACTACAGCGAGCGATTACAATGAACGTGGAAAACCTACAGTGTTCACGATCCGAGTCGAGTCAGTGGAGTCGAGTCGAGTCGTCTATTTACTCAACCACAATCAAGCAACAAATTCTCACGGCCGACACTTTAGACTATATAACGAGAACAACAACCATTTCGACCGTGGAAAGTTGACAACCGTCGCCTTGGAGTCAGCAGTTTTGACGACGAGGGCAAGTCTGCTGCTATATAGTATACGGTACCCCATGCAGGAAGCAATCACAACGATCATGGAAAGCCGACAACGACCAATTTCCACGCTCACAATTGATTCGCCATCTATCACGCCTCCATTATAATGAGCCCAATAATTTGGATCTCTACTAGAATCATGACAATGCATGATGACGGAGAACAAGCGCTTCTGCCGACGGAATCTACAATGTCAACAAGAGCAACATTGTTGACGGTGAGTCCACTACTACTCATCTGTCCTCCAAAGCCACTTTCACCTTGGACGCCAACGCTGCCTCCAGTTTTCGGAGACAACAACAATTTCGGCACCTCTTTGATTGCCGACAAGCCCAGTTACGGACTATTGTTGCCGACGCAGGAAAACACGATACCTACAACGATGCACCTTCGGTTGCCGACAACATGCACTAGGATGGCTCTCTACCGTACAGACTGCTACAATGGCATCCTCGGGAGCTGCAACGATTTTGGTCTCGCCCACGCTCCCACGCCACGTTTCGAACACACTTCCACCAAATCTCGTGCCTACGGTATACAGTACCGACACAATCGAAGGCACCACCTTTGGTCGCCGATGCCGATTCATCTTACGACCATGGAAAGACCATCAACATCAACCAGGGCGGTGACATCAATTTGCTGCTCATCAACCCTCACTTGCCATCAAAAGATATCAGCTCGATCCGTCCACGCTACGGTAGCTACGGTACTACCGTACGCGTCCTCCAGAGCTATGTTCGGCCTTTAATTGTCAATGCCTCCAAAGAGCCAATTTTGGTCCCCAATGATACCTACGGTGGCACACCTTTGAACGACAACAACTTTGGCTACTTGCCATGCAATCAACAGCCTGTGTGTCCAGTATATGCCCTCTACTGCAGAGCTTGTGCAACTCTTTGCAGATGTCAGACGAACAAGAGGAGATACTGGCAAGCTAACGCACAACGGCAACAGTACTTCCTCCACCAAAGCTGCTACTCCGAAAAAACCCAATGCCAAAGCCACTTGTCAAGTCCATCCTGGCAACATCGTTTTGGACCTGTTTTGGACCTTATCCATATTACTGCTGAGTCGACAACTACCATTTCGACGGAGCCCATGAGCACTTCCATCGCCAAAGTCACTCTTCCGACTAAGCCCTATGCATGCCTGCACTGCCACAATTCCAACGACGATTGGCCTCGTCAAAGCCAAGAAGAAAAGCAACACTTATTCCGGCAAGAAACACAACAATCTCAGTCTCATTTCTCCTCAGTCCGTGTCGGATACCAGCCTTATCCTTCGTACCGATATTACTCCAACCATGCACCGGGTCAAGGACTCAGCACCGTCTTGTTCCGCCATCTACAACATGACACCATTGGTCAATCACAACGGACACCATGACGACAAACCAATACCCAACAACTTCGGCAACGTCCCTTTGGCCCACAACAAGAAGAGCCGCAAATCACGGCGCTGTTCCTCTTTGGAGCAATGACGATGAAAATAGGGAAGCCAGCATTCTCCCTCACCACCGATGACAAGATTGCCATCCTTTTGTCCTAAAACTATATATAGCTATATAAAAGCAGTTCCATAAGTTTCACAAATATACCTGGGAACAAAAGAGTTTGTCATCTTTACACAACCATAAATCTGTCCTTATTAGTGCTTAAGTGTGTATGTCTCATTGGAGCACAAGCAATCACATCCACAAAGCTGGTCAGTGCAATCAAAAGCGAAAAAGCAAGGGAGACCCCAAGTGTTTCTGCAAGAGGAATTCTGAAAAAAGCATAGTTCATCTGGCACTGTTCCAGACAGCCCAACGCTGCCAGAAAGATTTAACCATCCCAAGCTTGACATGAGAACAAAGTCTGACGGAACAGATCCCGTCAGCATCAAATCAGCCAAATCAAGCACTCGCAGTGACATTAGCTGTCCCAGCTCAGTAGGGATGCCACCCAGGAAACGATTGCTCCCGAGTCTGAGATCGAGCAGGCCAGTCAGCAATCCCAGCTCGGAAGGAATGGTGCCAGAGAAGTTGTTGCTTTGGAGGTTAAGCCATTTAAGTGATGCCAGCTTCTGCAGTTCATTTGGAAGTGGTCCTGATAGCATGTTGCCTTGAATCCGGAAATTTTTGAGCATGGTCATCATTCCAACCTCACTGGACAAACCACCAGAAAGAAAGTTGTCAAACAAGAAGAAATTTTCGAGGGACGTCAGCAGCCCATATTCACTGGGTATTTCACCCGTAAACAGATTTCGCGAAAAGCTCAGTTGTACCAGTGAAGTCATTGTTCCAATCTCGCTTGGCAACTGGCCTGTCAAATAGTTTCCAACTGCATTATTCGACCCAAGCACACTGTACCCTGCAGCCAAAGTCTCAAGAGAAGTAAGCAACCAAAGTTCACTGGGCAGTGTGCCCACAAGTGAGTTGCCTGATAGTTCCAACCATTTCAAGAGGGTAAGCTGCCCCAGCTCAGTTGGGATGGTCCCAGTGACAGCATTTGCTTTTACTGTAAAATCCGTCAAACTGGACATCAAACCAAGTTCCGTTGGCAGGGTGCCCACCAAGCCATTTGTACTTATATCAATGTGGGCCAAATATCTCAGTTGTGTCATCTCTGGGATCAAAACGGCATTGAACGATGAATCCAAGTTGCCATTGACTCTTAGGACAATTCTGGACAACAAAGTGAGCAAGGTGATCTCTGGGGGTATGGTAGGTGAAAATCCAGTGAGCTCGAGATTGAACAAATCGAGGCTTGTGAACTTTCCATGATCATTGCAGGAGACAATAGACGGAAGACCCAAATCTTCAAATCGCGTAAAGTGCCCGTCAGCAAACAACCCAAATCCACTGGAGAACCAGTCACACTCTTCCACTGTGTCATCCATCCATCGCTCTTGTATTAGAGGAGTCCAATTTTCTCCCTCAAATGCATAGAAGAATGTTGCCATGGCGAAAAGCTGTTTCTTTCTCCATTCTGGAAGAAATGTAATGTTTTGGTGATGGGCTAGCCATTGCCATGCTTTCCACTTAGGGGTGTCACTGCCATTGTTCATGCTTGCCAAGGTGTAGTCAGGTAGACTATCCAATAACAAATCCAAACCTCCAGTGGGAGCCAAGGATGGCACCTCCGATGGTTCCATGGAAAGGTAAACAGTAGGCGTAGGAGTTGCAGCAGCAGCACGAATGGTTTCATCTGGATTCTTTTTGTGTGTGCCAGCAACCGTGCCCACAATGGCCGCTCCAGCCAGAATAACTAGTATCAGAATAAAAACAAAAGTTTTCGTTTGCTTCTTGCGCTTTTGCTGTTGTCGTTCCTGTTCCTCGACATTGACCGGGTTGGCATGCATCAAATCAGCACGAGCCTCTGGATCTTCTTCTACTGGATTGGCCCGGACCAAACCATCATCAATAGTCTCACTATTGCTCGTTTGAGCAGATGTTGTTGTGGCAGTAAACAGAGGAACTGGGACAATATGGGTGTCATCAGCAGTGCCAGCGGCATTAGGACGGCCACCATGGCTGTAGGCTCCTGGTATTGATACTGGTTGTTGACTGTTGAGGGCTGGCTGTTGTGGGAGTGGCTGAATTTCAACTTGTGCAGCCTCTCGGAATGATCCTTCCATATTTTTGGCACCTATGGGGTATCTGTCTTCTGATAAATTTGTTTTGGCGAGATCAATGGCAGCAATTGTCGGATCGATGTTACTGGTAGTGGTTTCTTTGAATTGCATAGTAGCTTCTGGTTTGCTTTGTTTGGAAGGAAGGTCCTTCTGATCGTCCTGCTGCTGGTCAGATTTGTCTGCTGGTGCGGCCGGTGACTTTCTACTGCCGATGCCGACAGCAATAGTGACAGCTGGAGAAGCCTGGTCACGCATATCCATCCTGGCAGCCTTGAGCACAGCTGCCTCATTGCTTTGTAACTCTTCCTTGACCGCTGATTGGTTTAGGGATATGTCTCCAGATGACTCGTGCTGCTGGTATTGTTTACGAGAGGTCTGGTGCCTTTGTGTCTCCTCTGTTGTTGTAGTCGATATGGTAGGAGAACGGTTTGAGTTGTTGTTCAGTGACTTGAGCACCATATTGGAATGTGATTCCTCTTCTTCTACAACCGCATTCAGAGTTGGGTACATGTGATCTACAAACAGATCGGCATTCTGCAGCACATCCGTTACTGAAGAAACACAAGTCTCCGCATCTTCGCCGGGCTGCCGAAGCCTGTGGGAAACTTCTGTGGGCACCGGTGGACGTCCTTCGTCCGAAGCGGTATTCTCATACTGCTGCTCGTTTTCCAGAGCCCTGATCAGGGACGACTCGTCTTGAGATGTAGGAGTTGTCATGGTGGCAACTAAAGTGTAATACTGTAATAGTCTCCCTCAGCAATAATCCGCAATGCCACCACTGCGGCTGGTCTCTTAGAATTGGATGGAGATCGATTGGAGTGACAGTCGAATCGAGTCGAGTCGAGTCGTTCGATCCATGCAGTCGCCCAGAGAATGACCATATGGAGACGCAGTGATTTAGCGTACGTGCACACGCTTTAAAAAAAACAATTGCTTCCGACCCCCTTTTAAAATAAAGACTACTCGAGTATCGTATCGGGAGGCCGAGTGTTTAGTCGTTCCATAGATAGCTTGCTCTAGTTAGTAGTCTAATGACAGGGGGATTTAGACTAGGGGAGTGAGTCCTATGAGGGGATGAGCAAACTTGGCCATGGCTCTGTGTTGAATTTGTTAGAGCGTTTATGTAAAAATTGTGTGCCCTAATCCAATCTTTTACTTTGGCTGTTTTTCTCTATTGGATTTGATTGGATTGCATTGGATTAGATTGGATTGCATTGAATTACAGTTTACTATATAAATAACAGTACTAATTGGAATCCAATTCAATCCAATTCAATGCAATGCAATCCAATCTAATCCAATTAAATTTATCTTCTGGCAAACATACGAATTTCGTCTTTTTAACTGATTTTAGGGAGTCACATCCATTACAATACAAGGCTATTGCAAGATTTGCCCATCCCCTGACATAGCTATCCTACTAGTTAACTCGTACTTGTTTGTTTGCGTCCCATTTGCAATCTCGTCACTGGACTGGTCTCCGTCGTGAAGCGAATGGTCGGGTGTCATTCGAAGACCGCAGCAAGCAGTTGGCGAAGCCATCCACCATGATCCCAGTGGCGCCTTCGGTTCTTCGATTTGGAATCCCAATATATACCGAAAAGTGGGGAGGCATGAAAGTTGTTGTCCAGGTTTTTGAGCCCAACAAGGACAAAAGCAAAAAAATAATGGGACTAACTAGCTAAGGAGCAGCAACGGCCTACTAGTACCCCCGAGACATTACCTTCCAGATCGCTCCAAACCCCAATCTGATCGTCACTCAAATGGCTGCCTTGCTGCCTCCAAGCGCGAAAGGTATGACATAGCAACCTTACAGATATGCATACTTGATTTCCCTTCCACATCTGAACGTTTCAGAGTCGAGTTCAGACTCCATACTTCAGATATTCTGTCTGCTGCCCAGCTCCCAACCGACAACAGCTCCGACAACTCTCTTCATAATTCCATCCCGCACTCTTGGACTCGACTCCAATACCAATACCGGCGGCAGCTGCCGGCGGCAGCTGCCAGCGGTACCGGTAGTCACTGTCACACGGCCGGTGCACATGGGCTTTATTCCTTGCCCTTTCCATTCTCCCAACCTCAACACGCACGTAATTAATGGTGATTTCTTGGGTGCTTCGTGCTTAAATCTCTCTTCATAGTAGTTGTTAATTGTATAGATAGGGTATCATACAGGACAGGGGGTAGAGAGCACTACATACAGCCTGTGCATATGAACAGGGAGGATGCCCGCAGATTGAGAGCAAGGCCAGCCATTTTTTTGGCCTGAATTCAAAAACGTCCAATTTCCTGTGCAATCGAACAGGATAGCGACGCCTGTTCAATTGCACAGGAAATGGACGGCCTGTGCAATCGAACAGGATGGCGACGCCTGTTCAATTGCACAGGAAATGGACGGCCTGCCTGTTCATATGTACAGGAGGCTGTACATACATATCAGGGTGTGGTACTCACACTGTTTTAGCATGTGAGTACGGGTACTGAGTACTACTCAGAATCCTGGAAGTGAGTGAGTACGGGTACTAGGTAGTACTCAGAATTTCTGAGGTCAAGTGGGTACAGGTACTATGTGAGTCCAGGTATTTTTTGGATACTACGGTATACTCACTGAGTACTCATATACCAATTACTTGGAGAATTTATCTTTGCAATTGGGCCCAAAGTGAGAAAATAGTGAACTTTTGGCTGTTTCGCGGTGAGAAAGTACCCACCGAGTACTCACAAAGTACCTATTCAGTACTCATGGTACTCGGTGA